AAATGACGGCGCAGAGGCAACTTTGTCTTATTACGGAGTGGAGATGGTATCTGGCGAGCGCAGGTTGTTGTGCCGCGTTGTGCTGCAGCACGCTAGCCATCTCTTGATTTACGACCAAACCTCGTTATGGCACTGGGGCCTCCGCCAGCCATTTAATTGTATCCTGGAGACCTCAGTAGTTTCACCTGCTGCAGAGTGTCGGGCAGCCACAGGTTTATTCGAATAGGTCACTCGGCTAAACGGCCGCCGTGCTGCGGGAGCACTGCGTTTTTAACCGTTGCGGGACGGAAGAGTCGGTTTGGCTAAATTTTGCAGCTGCCATACAATTAACCCTGGTGTTAATGATGTGGACCTGTGGGCAGCTGTGGGCTGTGGAAAATAACGTGCGTTTAGCTTTGTGGAGAGTGAGACGCCCTCCTCACCCCTTTCCTTCCTCCTCAAATGCAGCGAGGGCTGAGGTGCATAGTTAGCAGTTCCCTCAAGCTGGCCTGGGGTGGGGCAGTAACGTTCAGAGGCACGAGTAAGGCTGATTTGGCTGGGAACAGCCTTGCTGCGGGGAGGGCAAGGCGCTAGCAGCAGGCGAAGCTCATCAGCCCCCCGGACTTAGTTCAGGAACACTGGATTGTCCTGCCCTTATCTTCCTACCCGAGGGAGAAAGCCAGGTCTTTTGTAGGCTGTGGGGCCTGGCCATTGCCTTCAGGGGGTTCAGACCCCTCCAGTTTCACAAGCAGCCTGAGCTCTGACAAGTGGAAATGCCTGGCCCAGCTCCTGCTGTTGCTTCAGTTTCCCATTCTCCCCACGGGGCTGACTTGGCCAAGGATCCTGGGAAACGGAGCGTTTCTCGGAGCCCAGCTCGATGGCAGCAAGGCCGGGTTTCCCGTGCACAGCTCCATCTATTTCACAACAGGCGCGAGGCCCCCACACAGGTCAGAGGGTGGGAAGTTTTTGCGTCCCACGAATGCCCCTTGGAAGAAATTGCACTGGTTCTGTTGGGTCAAGGGGTGGGGGCGAGTGACGGGACTGAACGAGTGAATTCCTCCCTAAAGGGGCAAGAGAAGGGGGAAGAGGATGTTTTTTGGGGGGAGAATACATTTCACAGAGCTCAGATTCCCTTCTTTCTCCCTCGCTCCTGCAGCACGGACGCCCTGCCTTCTGGTTTTAGAGGGCTGTAAGGAGTTTTTGGGCTCGTTAGCTCACGTAGGCGGGACCGTTGGATGACCTCCTATATGACACAGGCTGTGGAATCCCACCTAGTAACTTTGGTATCAAGCCCGAGAATGTGCTTGACAGATGCAGCTCCCAGGAAAGCATCTGGTCGCCAAATAAGAGGCCCAGAGATGGGGACTTCACCGTTGCCCGCGAGGCAGCTGGTTCCAGAGATGAGTTGCCCTTGCTGAATGAAGGCTGCCTTAGCTAGGGTCTGGCGGCTCTCTAGCCCTTCCCATCAGGCTCATGATGGCAATCGCAGCAAATGAAAAGCAAACCCAAGGAGCTTCCCTGGGCATCTCTGCTACCCATAGCATGGCTGGCAGCTGCAGGCAAGAAGGGAAAGTGCCATGTGACCTCCACAGGCCCCTGGCAGGTCTGTGGGACATGGGTTTGGGTCCCGCGTGAGAAGGCAGCCAGGTTTCCCAGCCTTTTCCTGTACCAGCTTCAGAGGAAAGAGCAAGGCCGAGGCTGCCATCTGGCGGTGGTAGCTTGTGCCTTCCACCCGAGGTGGGGAATCAGGGAAGACGCTGGCTGGTTTTTGGGACAGAGGCATGTGGGGCGGGGAAGCTAAAGACACTTGTCTGAGCAGAAAGCTCAGAGCTGAGGTAGGAAGGGCCTGGCTGCCTGGGGTGGAGAGATGGTGCCATCCTAGGTCCTCTCGCTGCACTCACGGCACTGTGCTTACAGACCAGGACCCGGTGGCAGAGGGGGCAGAGGATGATCGCAATAAACCCAAGCTGCCGGATGAGAAGGACGAGATGGAGCAGCCACAGATCAAAGTGCCCATGGAAGTGCCCGAGAGGAATGAGGCGAGAGAGAAGCAGGAGGAGAAAGTGCAGCTTGACCGGCCTGATCAAGGTACTGTCAGGACATGGCAGGTAGCTGGGGAAGAGGTGGGAGTCCTGGGGTTGTGGGGGCACAGTTTGACATGGGCTAAAGAGTGTTATCCTGGGGGAAAGGTCATAGTCCAGGCCCTCCCCCTACTCTTCCAGGGACCCAGATCCCTTGCCTAATGCTTCCTGGAAGTTCCTAGCTCCAGGGCAGACAGCAGCCTCTGGGAGCAGGGTGCACAGCTGTTCACATGGGTATTAAGCAAGCTGCCTGGCCCCTTGACCTCCCCTCCTTGGCCCCCTGCGCAGGGATCGCTCTTCCCATGGGGGAGGCCCACCGCCATGAGCCGCCTGTGCCCCACGATGAGGTGGTGGTTGACGAGCGGCGGGAGCGGGAGGACTCGGAGGAGAACAAAGTTCCCCGGGAAGGAGCCCAGGAGAACCTGCTGCAGCCGGCTGCGGGCAAGGAGCTGGCTAGACCCGCGCAGCTGGATCCTGAGAAACAGGAGCTGCACCCAGACCAGGGTGGGGCCCCGAAGCAGCCCCGGGGTAAGTTAGACAGCCCTGTCGAGGACGTGGGGGATGCCCCAGAGATGCAGGCCCCGCAGCAGAACGGCCACCCGCCCTATAAAGACCTGGAGCCACGTGAGGCCAAAGTGCCAGCTGCTGCCCAGCCAAGGGATGGAGAGCCCGCGGAGGCTGCGGGAGGTGATGGTCTGAAGCCCCAACCACCTGGGAACGAGGAGGTGGTCGTGAAGCCCGCGGAGAAGGAGGCTGATCCAGGTGAGTCTCCTGCTCTGAGCCAGTGTCTCTTGGTGCGGGAGGGGAGCTACAGGTCCTGGTTACCTGCCTTTCAGCACTTCCTTTTAATTCTGCAAATATGCACAGTCCCTCCAGCAGCTGCTGGGGAGAGGGGAGGTGTCTGTGTGCTTTGACAGCTCCGATGCTGTCTGTCGGGCACTTGTTTGTGGGTCTGCTTAACGTCAGACACTGGGCTGTTCTCCTGCGTCTTGGAACTCATTGGGGATGCCGAGCTGAGAGATCTTGACAGGTAACATGTTGCGAAGCACCCATCTAGAAGCTGGCTAGGACCATTGTTGCATGTTAATTGGCTGAGGTTGTTAGCGTTGGCTCACTGCCACCAGGCTTTTGGATAGTTAAATAAAAATTTTTTTACAGCTTCCCTCACCGTCGTTGGGTGGATATATAAACCATGCTGGCTGGTGGGAGGAGAGGGGCCGCAGAGCAGTGGCTTCCCCAGCTAATGGGCTTGTGGGTCTGTGTGTCCGCAGGGGAAAGGCAGGAGTTGCCCCCACCAGGCAGGCCGGACCCAGCGCTGGCGCAGCTACCCGAGCAACATGAGAGCCACAACGCTGAGGAGCAGCACCCGGAGGGCGCTGGCAGCAAGGTGGAGGGTGAGTGCCTCTGCCTCCGAGTGCGTGCGCGCGTGTGGGAGGGAGGCGGGAGGGGGCTCGGGGTCTGGCTGTCGTGCTGGGACTCTGACGCACAGTGCCCAGCATGGACTTCCGGGGAGGCAAAGGTGAGCCAGCTTGCTCTGGGGAGCACGTCGCTCCCAGCCAGAGTCGCCTCGATGGCTGCAGTGATTCATGGGCCAGTGGTTCTTCCTGCAGAGGGTGGCATGCAGCAAAGCACAGCTGATGCCGAGCCCAGCTGGTGCTGTGACCCATCTCCTCCATTACTTGGTTACAAAAGCAGAGTGGGCCCTGGGGGAGTGGAACGACCTGGCCTCTTGCCAAGTAGGCACATGTCTGCCCCAGCACTGCTGTGGAGGCATCGTGGTGGAGCTTCATCTCCCCATGCCCTCGCCATGGCTGCGTGCTAGCTTGGAGCATGTGGGGCTCAGTTCCTTGTTGCAGAGCAGTGGCCTCTTGGGGCCCCCACGACTTCTCCTCCCCCTTGTCACCACTTCCTCATCTGTTTCCCCTGTTGGCCTCTCAGCCAGTACAGTGGGCATCGCTGGCTATAGAGTTGGGGAGCCTTGCTGGGCCTGCTGTTGCTTGTTTTTGGGGCTGCATGGAAGAGCTAGACTTGAGACTTGTGCGTGGGGCAGGCTGCTTTCCTGCTACCTGGTACTCTCAGCCCCCAGAGGCTGTGGAAATGGGCCCTTGGAAATGCACGGCCTTTCCTTCTGGCTGGTGCCCTGCAAGCCACAAGCTTCCTGGCCCAGTAGCCCATAGGGGTGAAACTCAGTGCAAGGATCCTGTGCGAGGGAGGGGGGAGACCTTGCTAGCCTTGTGTGCTGGGCTGACTCATTGGCCTCCCCTTAGACCCAAATGTGACGTTGGGGCCACTGCTGACTGAGCACCAGCAGCTCCGTGCACAGGAAAATGCGCCTGAGCTACGCCAGCACGAGAGATGCAAGCCCAGAGCTGGCTGGAGGCTGGGTGCAGGGATCACACGGCGGCCGTCCCTTCTGCCCAGGCCAGCTCCGGTGGCAATGCTGGCTGTGCGATGTCTGGAGAGGCCGGCTGTGCTGTGTGGCAGCAGTGCCTGTGTGCAGGTAGGGGCAGGGAACCGGCCTGCAGCTTCCTGTGCAGTCTAGCATCCAGATGCCTTTCTTATGCCAACTGTGCACAAAGACCGTCCCCCACAATCTCATTTGGTGGGAGCCTCTATTGCCTTCAGATGCCTTCAGCTGCTAAGAAACCAGCCTCATGGCTCTTCCTTTCGCATTTCACTGGGACTGAAACAGCTGAGGTTTTAAAGCTAGCTACAGGTACCGAGTGTGAGGACTTGCCATGGGCACATGGAGAGTTTATAGTCGGGCAGGAGAGAAGCCTACATGCTTCAGGGATTGCAAGTGCCTCACGTGTGCGCAGGGGCTGGACCTGGCTTGTGGGGGCGTCTGGCTTCAGCTCTACATGGTGCGTAGGCCTTCTTGCCCCCTTTGGCCTGCAAAGGGCTGCCTGGAGCTCCCACATTCCTCTCTGCATTGTGGAGTCCCTCCAGGCAGAACCGAGGAGAGAAGCACCTGTGCTGCTTCCGTACAAGGCACAGTCGTGGCGTCGTCCAGGGAAGCTGCTTGCAAGCAGACGGCATCTCCAGGGCTCTCTGCACTGTGGTCTGCCCCAGCCCTGCTCTCCGCCCCTGGGGTGCCCCAGCCCTGTTGTGTGCCTTTGATTTTGTAATGACTTCAGCTGTTTTCTTATAAAGAAGCGTGTCCCAGGCCAGTCCCCAGGCTGACGAGATGGCCCCAGCCTCCTGGCTCTGGCTAGGATCAAAGGACAGCAGAGACCCTGCAGTCAGTGAGGCCCCACAGGCCTGTAGAGAGCTCAGCACTTGGTTTTAAACTCCCCTTTGCAGCCTTCATTCTCCAAAGGCAGCCATGGTGAGTGGCGGCCGTGAGGCCTGAGGAACTCAGGCACTGGCAGAGACTTTGGTTTCAGCGTTTGCTCAGAGCCAGGTGCCAAATGCAGGCGGAAATGTGGAAATAAATTGCTCTGAAAACAACTTTGCACCCCCAACCTCTGCTCCCCAGGATGTCACTTGTAGATGGGGCAAGGAGGAAATCCCAGACCTCCTTGGTGTGGCACATTCGGCTGTGTGCCGGCGGGCTTGTGCTTTAACTGCCTGGCGGGGTGCTGGGCCGGGAGCAGCTGCATGTGTTGGCTAGGGCAAGCATCCCTTCTTAATTTAAACAGCATTTGACAGGGTGTTAACTTTGACACGGTTTCCTCTGGGCATTGTGTTTGGGAGGCACCGAGGGGCTTGGAAGCAGAGTTGATAGGCATGGGACGGGGTGTGGGGCAAGCCGACCCCAGGCAGACTGTCCCGGGGGCCCATCTCTGAGGGAGAGGATGAGGAGGAGCAGCTCCTTCCTTGTTCATGTGCTCTGTAGGGCGCCGGCGGCTGGCTGCCTCCCTGTAAGAAGCTTGCTGCACAGAGGCAGCTTTAGAGATAACGAGCGAGGTTCTTGCTGTGATTTGATGCGCTGAGTTGGGCCTGTGGCCATGCCGGCACCAGTGGCCCAGGCGTAGGGCGGGGTGGTGGCTACATTGCCATTAGCTGGAACAGACATGGCTGCTGCTTCCCTCTCCGAGAGGACGTGGCCTCCGAGTGCAGGCTTGTGTAGCAGGCAGGGCAGCCACGGGTCAGCGCAGGGGTTTAGCTAACCCACGCCTGCTTCCGAGGGGTAGGCAAGGGGCTGGGCTAGACACTGCTCAGCTGGCCAGGATGAAACGTGGTGGACTTGCATTGGAGAAGCAGAGCAGCCTCTTCCCAGCCTGGCCCCTTCACATGTCTGCAGGGCCCTGCCAACCATAGCTTGCCCCACCCAAATTCTGCCCCTTTGCTCTGCCCGGGTGGGTTCATTGGTGATGTGCTGGGTACCGCAGGGGGGGAAGCTGTGGGTGTAAGACAGGCAGGCATGTCCTGTGATAGTGTGCACCCCCCACCCAGTTCAGCACGGCTCAGGAACCGCTCAGTGCTTGGGGCCCAGCCCTAGTTGAGGCTGGAGTCTTGCTCTGGCACATGCTTGCAGGACTCCCGGCAAGTTGGGGGCTGGCTGCTGGGGAGGGACGTCGTAGTCCGGCCCACAGCCAGGATGATGACGGCTAGGGGCATTCTGGTCCCCGAGGTGAAATGGGCTCTAGTGGGGCCAGAGCAGGAGGAGGAGGCGGCCTGAAGTGAACGCCTTTGGGGCAGGGTGCAGCGGTACCACGGGGGAGCACGAGTGCAATGCTCCCCCTCACCTGTGCTGCCCTCCCCATCCCTTTCTGTTCGCCTTTGCAGACGCAGAGAAGGACAAGCTGCTGGACCATGCCGTGCTGCTGCAGGTGATCAAGGAGCAGCAGGTGCAGCAGAAGCAGCTGCTGGACCAGCAGGCCAAACTGCTGGCTGTGATTGAAGAGCAGCACAAGGAGATCCACCAGCAGAGGCAGGAGGAGGGGGGCGAGGAGAGGCCGAAGCAAGGTAAGGTGCCCGTTCCTGGGGGGTTGTTCCTTGGTCTGGGGCAACACAAGCTCCCGGCAGAGGTGCGTCAGTCCTTGTACAAACAGGCTCCTGGTTTCTATTCCCGCAGCAGACGTGCAGGCTGAGCTCGACGCAGGCCCCGCACAGAGCAAAGAGGAAGCAGGCCAAGATCTTCAAGAAGATGCTGCTGCCAAGCACATCCCCAAAGAGGTGCAGAGCCAGCTCCAGCCTGGGCCTGACAGCCCAGCCCTGAACCTGGTAGAGCAGCGCAGAGGGAACGAGGAGAAGCAGGAAGAGGCTGGGCATGGGCATGGACATGAAATCCCTGGAGTGCTACTAAAGGACGGGAAAGTCCCGCTGCACGAGGCAGTCCAGGCTGGGAAGAGCTCCATGGAAAAGGCTGGAGAGCCTCTGCCTGCCGCCCAGGCAGTAGGGAACCCTCCTGAGCAGGCAGCCGTGGCCAGGGAGCCAGGGAGAGGCCATGAAGCTAAAGCTGCTGGCAAGCTGCAGGAGAAGAGGGATCATGTGCCGAAAGCTGCTGTGGTGGCCGGGCCTGCTGGCAACCCCCAGCGAGAGCCACCGAGGGCACCCAGGATTCAGGAAGCGGCAGGCCAGAGTCCGGGAAGAGACCCTGGAGCAGAGCGGAAAGGCAAAGCAGTGAATGGCGCAGAGCCCCGGGACCTAGGCTCCCCTCTTGATGCCGCAAAGAACCTGCGTGTGGAGAACATGCAGCACAAGGTGGAGCCCCTGCAGGCTGCTGACGCCGATGGGGGCAATCGGGCGGGCCAGCTGAGAGACCAGGCCAAGCTGCAAAGTGTCCAAGAGAAAGACAGAGATGTGGCCCAGGAGGCTCAGGGAAAGCCAAGGCATGTGGATGACAAGCTTGAGGAGCACGGGAAGCAGCAGAGCTCCAAACACGAGGCTGCCCTGAAGCCTGAGAAGGGGGCGGCCACCAGCAGGGACGAGCAAGTGGAGCGTGACCGTGGCAAGCCCAACCGGGACCTGAAGCTGCAGGCGGACTTGGACCTGCGGCGCCGGCGCCGGGACCTGGAGGAGGAGGAGGAGGGGGCAGGTGCGGCGGCGGGAGGTGGCATCCTCATTGGCCTCCACCCTGTCCCCGACGTGAAAGTGAACGACCTGCGTGGTGCGCTGGAGACGCAGCTGCACCAGGCAGCGGGAGGCGCCCAGCCGGTCATCCACAGCCGGCAGATCAAGCAGGTGCCTGCAGCCGAGGAGGACGGGTGACGGGCAGGCCGTGCTCCGGGGGTGCCGCGGGTGGCCAGTGCTGAGGGGTTGGGTTAGCCAGGGACCACTTGGCTGTGACTAAGGGGCTGATTCACTTCACGTGGCCTTGGCCTTTGGGCTCTGACCTGCGGGAACTCTCCCTGGAGCTGCCCAGCCAGGTTTAACATTCCTGCCCGAGTGTGTTGTGGGGGATGACAAGATTGAGATCATCAGTGACCCTGAAAGAAAAGCTCCCACCGTCCTCTGGCTTTCAGAGGTCACCTGCCAGCTCAGGAGTCCAACCCCCCTACCTCCCTGGCACACACTTTCCAAGGACCTCTGTTTGCTTCGTGCCCGTTGAATTGCCTTAGCCCTCCTGTGCCGACCTCTCTCTCCAGGACCGAGGTCCCTGCCACGCTGTCCAAAGCGTCTCTGCAGACCCAGATCTCGGGGGATGCTGTGGAGAGCAGACCAGCCCAGGCAGAGGGTGTGGTGGGCTCGGAGGCCTGTTGCTCTAAAGCACGTGTGCATGCGTCCACTGGCCTCGTATGCCTGGGGGGGGGGGGGAGTCCTGCTTTAAGAACAGGTGGAGTCAGTCTGCGATGCCGCCTTAAACAGGCATGACGCCTGCCGTTGTGCTGCCTCTTGCTCCCAGGGATCCGCTTGGCAATAACGAGGACTCCCCCCTTTCCACCCTCCCACCTTGAACAGGACTGTTTCTGTCTGCATGTCTGAGCTGGGAGCTCCCCCATCCCTGGCACACTCAGGGGCTCACGCTGGGCACGGCCGGCACCTCCCTCCCCAGCAGAAGCAGCTCAGGCTGCTGCAAGCATGGCTGAAAAGGGACCGTGCGGAGCAGAGCTGGCTCAGGCCTGTCTACCTACCTCGCTTCTCCCTGGGCAGGGTCCATCTTTCCCCAGACCTGGCCTCCAAGGTGTTTGAATCCGTGGATGGTCCTGTGGGAGCATCAAAGGGAAACCCGTCCTGGGGCAGCCTGCCAGGGAGTGACCGTTGCTTGGTAAATGTCGACAGACGAAGCCACATCCAAGGTGGAATGTAAGCAAACCCAGACTCGAAGCTTTTCCTCCGAGGACAGGAACGCCCCCAGACCGCAGCACTGTGGTGGTTTTATATGTGTATAACTGTGCGCTGTCTTAGCCTCTTGCAGTTCATCGCAGGTTCAGGGGCTAGGTCGCTGTCATACACGGACGTGTTGCAGTGACCTGCCAGACGGGCAAGCTACAGGGAAGACTTTGCCTTCAGGCTGTGGTGCTTGGCTCTCCCATGCAAGGAAGAACCAGACTTTGCCTTGTAACATGGGCTTGTTTCCTGCATGTCGTCAGTGCCATGCCTGCTTGCAAGGTGACCCGTACCCTCACTCTCCTGCGCATCTGATGCAATCATCGTGGCCTTAATTGTCAGGATTCCCTGCAGTACTCAGAGGTGACCCATCTCGAAGCACAATGTAATGCAGTCGGGAAGGTTTGTTAGCTCCGTTGTCGGCAGGAGGCCTCTCCCGCTGTGTGGTGTTTGCAGATGCAGGCTGGAGCTGGGGTAGGTGGCTGAGGTCTTGGCCGAATCAAATACCTCCCCTTGTTGCTGCAGCTGCCCCTGCAAAGGGAGGTGAGGGACGGAGACATGCTGGCACTTTCCCCCTCCTTGCACTTCCTCCACCTTTCTCACCACGTGAACACTGGCTCATCCACCATGCCCGTCTCCTGCCTTGCGCTGACAGTGACTTGCCTGCGCCATCGTCAAAGGACCAAAGACACTTCTGACATTCCCCAGCCAGCACGGCTGGATCCTGTTGTGAACGAGACCTCCCTGTGCTGGGCCGGGCCAAGGCAGGGACCCCGCTACCTCGCCGCGCTCGGAGCAGGGGCCTCAGCCCAGCAGACCAATAAAAGTTAAAGCATTTCTATCTGAAGGTGTGTGCAGAGCATCTCTCAGCAGGGTCTGGACATGGTGGGGGGCATAGGGGAGGGTGGATGGCATCTGTTGCTTTGCACCGGTAGGGAGGTAGTCTGCCTCCAGAGGCAAACAGAGCTCCTTCCAGCTCTTCCCCTCCCTCGGTGGCCGCGAAAGAACAGCAGGCCTCTGTCTGCCTGCCCTGTAGTGCCCCTTGCACTGGGGGTGCCAAGCGCTTGGCGCGAGGGCATCTTTTGCTCTCAGCAAAGTCCAAGCAAGGGAGCCTTGGGTCTAACTAGGAACCAAGGCTCCCTTCCTTCTTTCATGTTGCCAGCGCTCACGTTACCTCTGTTATAACGCAGCCCTGGGCATGGCTGCTATAGCATAGCTGCTATGACACGAGGAGCAGGAGCCTGGGATGTGGGCCTGCCTTAGGCCCTCGACTACTTCGCTGTCAGGGCTGCTGGAACAGCCCGTGCTCACGCTGGATCTGGTTTGCCATCCAGCTTCCTCCCTGCAGCGAACCGAAGTCAAGCCCACTCCCTCCTGTGAGCATCAGGCAGGGTGACCTCAGCCCGGCCCACGTGACAGCGAGGGGGAGTTGCTCCTAAATGCCTCGTTCTGCATCCCCCAACCCCGTTCCTCCAGCTCTGGGCAGGAAGGGGAGCGGGTACCCAGTCCCCAGGGCAGGCCACTGCCGCAACGCTGCTCTTCACAGAGGAGCCCGGCCCAGCGCGCTGCGTCGATCAGAGCTGCCCGGGTTGGGGAGAGCGGCTGGGGCTAAGTCAGGTTTCTTGGGGCCCCCATGGCTGGAGGAGCCACGTTCTCGGGCCAGCTCACCGTTTACCCCATAAAACCTGAGCGCAGACACAGCTCCGAGCAGTTTCAAAAGCCTTTTCCAGGCCTTTATTGACAGGCCCAGATTGGGACCTGACTGGGGCCCGCAGCTTTCCTGTGCCCAGCCCACTGGTCCTCTTCCTTCCTTCCCATCTGAGCATTCGAGAGCAGGCAGCTGCTGTCAGGCTCAGGAATGCGCCTATTCCAGCCGGCCGGGCCCCAGAGCTGCTATAAATCCAGGTCCTGGGTCGCTCGCGGTTCCACTTGCGTCACTTCGCAGCTGCCTTTGCCTGTAAAAATAAGGGACGCAGGGGAGTCGCCCGGAGGTTTGGCATCCCCGTCTGTGCCACGGGGGCAGGCTGGGAACAGATGCACCGGAAACGGGCCGCAGACCAGAGGGGAAAGAGGCTCTTGTCCAGGCGGGGGTTAGACAGCCTCTTCCCTGTGGGGCCGGGCTGCTTCGAACGCCCTTGGGGCATGCCTATGACATCACGTCGGGGAAGGGGGGCAGAGCCGTGACATCACAGCAAGGGGAGCACAGCGATGACATCACAGCAGGTGAATGGGGCAGAGCCGTGACATCACAGCAAGAAGGGGAGCACAGCGATGACATCACACCGGGTGAATGGGGCAGAGCTGTGACATCACAGCAAGAAGGGGAGCACAGCAATGACATCACACCAGGTGAATGGGGCACAGTAGTGACATCACAACAAGGGGAGCACAGCAATGACATCACACCAGGTGAACAGGGCAGAGCTGTGACATCACACCAGGTGAAGAGAGTAAAGCCGTGACATCACAGCTGCCCAGAGGACACAGCAGTGACACCAGGAGGGGCGAAACGAGAAGGCAGCCACGTAATGTCGACTGAGGCAGCACAGCTATGACATCACGGTGGCTGGGGGGGCGGCGCCGGTGACGTCAAGGCCAGCGCGGTGACATCACGACAGGGCGATTCCCGCGCCCCGGCCCCGTACCGCCCGGGCAACGCAGGCCCTCAGCTCCTCGAACTCCCGGGCGCACGCGTCCTTCCGCAGCTCGGCCCGGCCCGCCGTCGCGGCCGCCACGCACCTCCCATAGGCTGCGGCCTGGAAGGGGAAACCAGGGCGGGCGCTGAGCTCCAGCGGCGCCCGTCCATGTCGCGACATAAACACCGGGTGTCGCGACATGCCCCGCCCCCGGCCCGCACCTGGTCCCGGCAGCCCGCCAGCAGCTCGGGGATGCGCCTCAGCCGCTCGCGAGCGCGGAGCCAGGGCGCCGCCATGTTGGGCCACCTTCCCATAGGCCTCTGCTCCCGCTCGCCTCTCATTAGGCCGCCCCTCTCTCCGATCGAGGTTTGATAGGCCGAGTGTCCCGCCCATCAGAGCCCCCTTGGGTTTGGATTGGTGCAGCCTTTGCCCAGCCTCTGCTAGGTCCCGCCCGCCTCCGTAGTTCATTCTGATTGGGCCGGCTGCGCAACGCGGGGTGTTGATTGGACGCGCTGACCGGTTGTTGACTGCCCTTCGCTGCCCCGGCCCCGGACGGCGTCGGTAACGCGGGCCGCTTCCCCCCGAAGCCCCGCCCCCTCCCAACGCCCATTGGGCGACCTGGGAAAAGTCGCTCTCTGATTGGTGCGGGGGAGTTTCCGGAAGGCGGAGTCGCGATGCCGGGGCCAGGTCGGGCAGGGCAGAGTCATGGCGGCGCCGTTGCGGGACCGGCTGAGTTTCCTGAGCCGGGTGAGGGCGCCCGGGACTGGCGTCGGGGTCGGGGCTGGGGCCGCTGTCCCCCCATCTCCCGTTGCCAGGGCTGGGCTGGGCTGGGGGCTGGGGCCAGAGGTATGGCTGGGAGTGGGAATGTCATGATGTCATGATGTCACCGCGCTGGCCTTGACGTCATCGACGCGCGCTCCCGCTCCCAGCCGCCGTGATGTCATAGCAGTGCTCTCTCGGGCGCTGTTGCATCACTGGCTTCTCATTTCGCCCACCCTGGTGTCACTGCTAGGTTTCCTGGGGGGTGTGATGTCACTGCTCTGCCGCATTCCCCGGCGTGATGTCATAGCCGTGCTCCCCTTGCCACTGTGATGTCACTGCTGTGCCCCATTCATCCGGTGTGATGTCATAGCCGTGCTCCCCTTGCCACTGTGATGTCACTGCTGTGCCCCATTCATCTGGTGTGATGTCATAGCCGTGCTCCCCTTCTTGCTGCGATGTCACTGCTGTGCCCCATTCATCCGGTGTGATGTCATAGCCGTGCTCCCCTTGCCGCTGTGATGTCACTGGCCTGTCCCATTTACCCAATGTGACATCATAGGTGTGCCCCCTTTCCTGCAGTGATGTCACCCCTGCCCCATTCACTCATTGTCATGTCATAGCTGTACTCCCCTCCTGGCTGCGATGTCACCGCTTTTGGGTGCCCCATTCACCCGCTGTGATGTCACAGCTTTTCTCCTGTGATGTCACGGTGCCCCCTGCAGCATCACCCCCCCCCCCAGGGGGAGGCTCGGGCATCGGCTGAGAGTGGAGCAGGGCTGGGCTGGGCTGGGCGCTTCCCCGGGCCCGTCCCGGCGGGGGCTGCCTCCCCTCCTGCGCCGTGCCGCGCCGCGCCGGCATCTCCGGGAAGCATCCGGCCGGCGCCTGCGGGGCCCCTGCCAGCAGTGCCCTGATGACCGCGTCTCTTCCAGCTGCCCACGCTGATCAAGAGCACCTCGGATGACGATGTCCCCTGCCCCGGGTACCTGTTCGAGGAAATTGCCAGTATCCTTCGGAGCTGGGCCCGGGGCCGGTGCTGGGCCGGACGCGGGAGCGGGGCGTCAGTGGCCCTCGGGGATTGCAAGGGCGCATGGGAGGCCCCCGAGTGCTGCAGCAGGGCAGGCAGGGTCCGAGGTCGGGGGGGTTTGGCTGCGGTCGAGGGTGCGAGGAGCAAGCCCGCAGTGAGCGATGCTTCCTAACCCTCCGCCTCTCAGAGATCTCCCACGAGTCGCCGGGGAGCAGCCAGTGCCTGCTGGAGCACCTCCTCGCCCGCCTGCACAGCCGCTCCTGCCACGTCAAGCTGAAGGTAGCACCGGGGTCGAGGCGGGGGCTGAGCATGGGGCCGAGGGCGGGCGGATCAGCTGGAGGGGAGGCCGGCGCGGCCTGGCTTGGCCCTGGGCGCGTCCCCCAGAGCCTCCCTCGTGCCTGCAGGTGCTGAAGATCCTGCTGTACATGTGCACGCACGGCTCGTCGCCCTTCCTCCTCCAGCTGAAGAGGAACTCCACCTTCATCCAGGAAGCAGCAGGTAGCCCAGGCCCCCCGTGTGCCCTGCCTTAGCCCTGGGCCGTCAGGCTGCTCCTGGGCAGGGCTGGGTGGACGTCAGCCTGGTGCCTTGTGCTCCCCGGGGCTGTGCAAAGCTGCCCAGATGGGTGCATCCCCCAGGGCAGGTCCCTGGCACCCTGGCAGGCTGCGGTGTCTGGGGTGGGGGCTGGGTCTGCAGCGGGCTGCACTTTGCCCTTGCAGAGCTGCGCTGGGGCTAGATGGTGCCGTGGCCAGCCCAGACTGACCCCTCACCACCCACTTCTGCCTCACAGCCTTCGCGGGTCCCCCGGATCCTCTGCACGGCAACAGCTTGTACCAGAAGGTCCGGGCAGCTGCGCAGGTGCGTCTCACCTCGGGCTATCCCAGGCCCCGGAGAAGGGGAGCTGAGGTTCCTCCGTCCTGGCTCGGGCTTGGTGCTGGACTGACGGCTGGCAGAGCCGGCGCTGAGGCTGCTGGGGGTCCCCGTAGTGACCCTGTGCCCCCCATGGCTCTGCCTGCAGGACCTGGCCAGTGCACTGTTTTCAGACACCTTGCTGCCCCAGCCATCTGCAGCGCCTGCCAGGCTGCCCCCCCCAGCAGGTAAGCACATAGGCCACCCCATGCCCCTGCCCCAGGTGTGGGTATCGGCTTCTCGCTGAGAATCCCAGCCCAAGGAAAGAGCCCTGTGGCCCTCCCACCCCCAGTCCTGCCCCATCACTGCTGATGGGCCATGACCTGTCTGGTGCAGATGCAGCCAGCATCCCCGGGCCCTGAACTGTCTTCTGTTGCAGGAATGGGGGCCAGCTCCAGCCCCTGCAGCTCCCTACAGGGCTTCGGCTTCACCCGGGAACAGGGCAGCTCCGGTAAGTCCGGGCATGGCGCAGGGCTGGGGCACCAGCACCCCAGGCAGTGGGGGCAGTCTCCTGGCTCTTGGTGCCTTGATGCCCCTGCTCCTGGCATCAGGGGGTCTGTTTCATACCAGCTGTGGCATCTTGGGGCTGCCAGGGCCGGGCTCCCCAGTGGTCAACGCTGCTAGGTGCTGAGGCAGCTTGAGTCCCTGCAGCTGCCTCTGTGCCCTGCCTGGGCAGGGGTCTGGTGCCCCAACCCTGATGAGCAGAAGCTGCTTGGCTGTGCGGCTCTGTGGCCACTGCCCTGCTCTGCTCCTGTGGCCTGGGGTGGCCGGTTCTGTGCCCAGATGCACAGACTCAGGCCCTGTCCCCATCTGGCTCTGCCCTAGCTTCCCCAGGCGAAGCCCTGCTCAGCACCATCCAGAAAGCGGCTGAGGTGGTTGCCAGTGCCGTGCTTCCCAGGCAGGACCCGCGCCGGCCCCGGAGCAGGGAGCTGCAGGATGATGCCTACCAGCCCGTGACGGCACCCTCCCCCGGGAGAAGCTATGCGGGGTCTGAAAAGCCCCTGGCCCCTGCAGCCCACGGCATGCGAGGTAGGTGCAGAGCCCCACGTGAGGCAGATGGGTGCAACGCCCCAAAGGCTGGCAGCAGCTCCTAGATCCTTGGGAATCCAGGCTTCTGGTGCCTGGCTGGAGGAGGGAGGTGCCAGCACTAATTTAATCGGAAACAGCAGCGTCAGGGCAGAGCTGGAAGCCTCCCAACCTGGGGGTTTCTAACACCCTGCAGACTGAAATGCAGCCGGCAGTGACAGCTCAGGACAGGGAAGGTGGTGGCTGCCTATGGGCGCCTGTACGGCCCGGGCTACAGCGGGTCTCTGCCGCATCCTAGCGGCGTGTTAGAGCTGGGACCTCAACCACGCTCCTGGCCCATCTCCCTGCAGTGAGTCACCAGCCCAGGCAGCCAGGCGGCGGCTGGGAGGAGACGGACAGCGGGCGCAGCTCCCAGGACTCCTCGCAGGAGAACGGCGAGCTGAGCCGCACCTCCGACTCCTACAGCAAGTCGGGCAGCGCCAGCCACTCGGGGGCCAGCAGGGAGCTGGGGGGCGTCGCGGAGAGGTGGGAGCAGGGCAGGGGGGCTCGGGGCTGGGTCCAGCTGGGGTTACAGCCCCACGGTGGGGTATGCGGGGTGGGCAGTCGGGTGGGGAGAGCAGGGACTGGAGCTCTCCGGGGTGGAGCAGGGGGAGCCTTGGAGATGGGCCGGCTGGAAGAGCTCCCGGGTTGGGGAGCAGAGCTGTGCCCCCCGCATCTCCAGGACCCAGCGATGGAGCTGGCATCTCCCCCCCCCCGCCGCAGGGTGGAGGCTGACAACCGGGGCGACTGCCTGCAGGAGGTGAGCCTGGTGAGCGGGCTGGCCCATGGCCCCAAGGTCTTCCTGACCCGTGAGGAGGTGCAGCACTTCATCAAGGAGTAAGAGCCCAGCGTACCCCCTCCCCTAGCCCAGCTCAGCCCTGGGCCCGCATTCCCTGCCCTTCCTGGGCTGGCAGAGCTGGGCACTGTGGCAGGGGGAAGCTGAGGGGCACATGGAAGATGGTGGTGCCCCCCGGGGAGCAGGGGGTAGGTGGTCCAGGGTGGGGGTTAGCAGCCATCAGCAGGCCAGGCTCCCCACCCCCCATCTCAGGGCGGCCCCTCCCCCCAGGGGTGGGCTGCTGAACTG